ATGCGTTGCTAAATCTCTAAGGCCCACTTCATCAAGGAGAGGCGGAATGTAATTCTATAAAATTCAAATGTTTATATTTAATTTAATGCACGCTGAAACATATAAATACTGTATAATAATAATATAATGCACAAAAACAATACCAATACCCTACATTCTAAAAAGGAAAAGACTTGCATAAATACTACATTGCCAAAAGTATTGGGATGCCTGCCTTTACACGCACATGAACTTTAATGGCATCCCAGTCTTAGTCTGTAGGGTTCAATATTGAGTTGGCCCACCCTTTGCAGCTATAACAGCTTCAGCTCCTCTGGGAAGGCTGTCCACAAGGTTTAGGAGTGTGTCTATGGGAATGTTTGATCATTCTTTCAGAAGTGCATTTGTGAGGTCAGGCACTGATGTCGGACAAAAAGGACTGACTTGCAGTCTCCGCTCTAATTCATCCCAAAGGTGTTCTATTGGGTTGAGGTCAGGCCAGTCAAGTTCCTCCACCCCAAATTTGCTTCTCCATGTCTTTATGGACCTTGCTTTGTGCACTGATGTGCAGTCATGTTGGAACATGAAGGAGCCATTCTCAAACTGTTCCCACAGAGTTGGGAGTATGGAATTGTCCAAAATTTCTTGGTATGTTGACACCTTAAGAGTTCCCTTCACTGGAACTAAGGGGCCAAGCTCAACCCCTGAAAAACAACCTCACACCATGATCCCCTCTTCACCAAATTTTACACTTGGCACAATGCAATCAGGCAAGTACTGTTCTCCTGGCAACCGCCAAACCCAGACACACCCATCGGATTGCCAGACAGAGAAACCTGATTTGTCACTCCAGAGCACACATCTCCACTGTTCTAGAGTCCAGTGGTGGCATACTTTATACCACTGCATCCAACGCTTTGCATTGCATTTGGTGATGTAAGGCTTGGAAACCCATTCCATGAAGCTCTATATGTACTGTTGTGCTAATCTGAAGGCCACACAAAGTTTTCTTTTTTATGTGATCTGCCACTTTGTGGGTGAGTTGCTTTTGTTCCCAGTTGCTTCCACTTTGTTATAATAACATTGACAGTTGACTGTGGAATATTTAGTAGCAAGGAAATTTCATGGATGGACTTATTGCACAGGTGGAAACATATCCAGGTACCACGCTTGAATTCACTGAGCTCCTGAGAGCTACCCATTCTTTAACAAATGTTTGTAGAAGCAGTCTGCATGCCTAGGTACTTGATTTTATATACTGTACCTGTGGCCATGGAGTTGATTGGAAAGCCTGAATCCAATGATTTAGAGGGGTGTCCCAATACTTTTGGCAATATATGGCAACATAATATATATATATATATATATATATATATATATACATACACACACACAGGTGGGATATACCCTCCTGGTGGTATGCTTAGATTCCAAATCGTACAACCAGATAAAAGCAACAATGGGTATGTGGGTTATCTCTCCAAAACCCTAGAAGTAGATAGAGCAGCAAGTAGGAGCTACTGGACAAAGGACATGTCCAGAACACTCATTAATCTAAGAAATAAGAAGCAAGTTTACTATTTATTTATTTCAGGTACTTATATAGCATTGTCAATTTATGCAGCGCTTTACATATATATTATACCTTTACATCAGTCCCTAACCCTTAAGGGGCGTACAACCTAAGGTCCCTAGCTTACATTCATACATACACATACTAGGGACAATTTAGACAGGATCCAATTCACCTACCAGCATGTCTTTGGAGTGTGGGAGGAAACCAGAGTACCCGGATGAAACCCACGCAGGCACAGGGAGAACATGCAAGCTCCAGGCAGGAGGTGTCGTGGCTGGGATTTGAACCAACGACCCTAGTACTGCCAGGCAGAAGTGCTAACCATTTAGCCACTGTGCTGCCCTATATTATATATTGCCCCATACTATATATTGTTTCTTAGAAAAGATATATGTATCTATCAAAAAAATTGTAAGTCTCTAATGGTGGCATACAGTGTCCACAAGTTTGCCCAGAAATGGTCCTCACAAACACGGGAAATCATGCAAGGGGGTGTTACCTTGGCCCCCTGAGTAAAGAACAAATAGCTCCTCTGCTCACCTTAATAATCTAAAGCAAACAGGAGTCTTTTGTACACACTTGGACTTTTCTGTTGAGGCAGTATTCTGAAAAGGACGGTTTCCATAGAATATCTATCTGCTATACAAACTCTCAGCCATGACACCAGCATAATACATTATTGTAAATGCACTCTAGAAGCAGTCTTTTGTTAATATATCTATTTTCAACATATTGATCCCAAATGTCACTAAATGTCACTGGCAAGAATCATTCAGTGTCTCAGAAACACATGATTCTACATGGACTACTTTTTCATGTTGCCTTTAAGGACTTACTGGACATATACATATATATACCTTTTCTATTGCTCAATTATATGATTATTATTGATTGCTTTTGTGCAACAGTTTACTGGTACAGTAGTAACTTCAAGCATTTTTTTAGCTTATTCCTAAAATATTACCAATAAAATGTCCATTTAATGTGTAATATGCTTTTTTCTATAATGTACTGTGTATTCATGTTTGATTTAGTTTTGCTAAACTGAAATACAGGGCCTTACTGAAATAATTCTTGGATTTAAAGTGGATTCTAACTGAACAAACATTGCAGCTGGTCAAACCCCTAAAGAGCACAGTAAGGGCTCATTCACACCAAGGTGTGGAGACATCTGTTTTTCTGAACACGTTCTGCAAGGGCACAACATGATCGATTGTACTCTATGTGCCCTGCTCAAACCACAACAATAGTATCATGTGCAGATTTTTTTCTGCGCAGAAATCTGCAACATGTATAAAACTCATAGAGGCATGCATGAAAATTGATGTAAACTGATGTCTCTGCAAGTGAAATCTGCAAGTCAGTTTTCAGCAGTTTTTCTGCACGTATGGTGTGAATGAGACCTGAAACCTAAACAAAACGTGGTCATCTCATACAAGTTGTTGTCAAGTTGTTAAAGCCAAGACTCCAGTGCACAAAGAAAAGAAATGACACCTTTCCATAACACACCTTTCCATAACTGGTGAGAATGTGTCTCCAACCAGGAGAGAAGCAAATCAGAGTCAAAAATAAGTAACACTTAATTGGAACTTGTAGCAGGATGTCCTGCACCTATAAAAAATACAAATTGCCTGTACTAAGAGGAATAGTTAGGATGTCATTTCTCACCTTTTTCCACAATTGCTAGTTACATAGTTATATCTATTGCAAATGCTTTTAATTATTAACTTAAAACAAACATGTAACAAAGGACGTTATAAAGTCCCAAAGGTAGCCACTGCACTGTATGTTTGAGCTAAATGCCCAGGTGCTCCAAAAATTGGTAAGGAGGCACTCATGGGTCTTTCAAAGGAAATAGATCAAAACAGTAAATGTTTTGATGAAGATGGACTGAGCTTCACTGAAATAATGACAATACAAATGCTGTTTTGATCTATCTTCTCTGCAAGACCTGTGAGTGCCAGTTTTAACGTATTAGCAAAAGAAGTTAGAAGGATAGTTGGTCAGTGACATGAAAAGTTATGAAGGCTTTAGATAAGTAAGGAACAGGGGCAGACTGACCATTTGGAAACTCGGACACTGCCCGAGGGCCCGGGGTCAGTAGGGGACCCCATTAGATGCCCCTGGTACCTTTTTCATAGGCTTTTTTGAGTTTGGGCAAGGACACAGGGGCCCCATGCCCCATGATCCATGAGTTGTCAGTCCGCCCCTGGTAAGGAAACCAGACAACTAGCATTTTATGAAAGAGAAGTAAGCCTCAGCAACTTGCTGTTTCCTTAAAATTCCATACCAGACCCAAACAGTGAGTAGCTATCCTTTTGCTAGCAATTTAAACACTCGTTTTTCTGTGTTAAAGTCAGCGATAGTGTAGTACATTACATATATTACAAAGATGTGCCGCTTCACACGCAGGGTCAGGGCATTCCCCCACGCATGTTATTTAAGGTTTTTTTTGCATTTTTAATGTTGTACTTTAGGCATTATAGTTGCTCCTCTTTAGACTAAAGAGTTTTTTTTTAGATTAATGCATTCCCTGCATTAAGGTAAAAATCCTTTTACAAGCAGATCCCCCTGTAGCCCCCCTAAATACTTAACTGAGCACTTGGCTCAGACCTGCGCATGCCCAGTTATGGTACAGAGCCAGCTGAGATCATCCGAGTGCCTGCTACAGTATGTTTGGGCAGCGCTGGTGGGGAGCAGGTCTAGCAGAAGTGGTACCTGTGCATGTCACGTGATGTCATGGTGCAAGGGAGCTGAGTGGAGCTCCTGGAGTCAAGTGTGCGGGTCTGCAAGTCAGGAACGGGACTGTCAGTGCTGTTTGGATTGGAGTGAACTGAATGGACCACTTGGTGTGGAGAGAGAATGTCACAGTGACACAGGTGGGGACCTGTCATGTTAGTGAGATGTCAGCATTATCTGTGCTGCTGCACACTGCTGCCAGTGTCACGGTGAGAGTCAGTGTCATGTGGGCGCCTGCCCATTTTAACCTCCCTGGCGGTATGATTATTTCAGATGTTTGGTGCTGAAAGCGGTACCATTATTTTGCATGGAAATTTGGCGTTTTATATTGTAGGCCTGTAATTCTTAGGAATAACTCACTGAAATCTGTCCGAACAAGAGTCTAGTAAACATCCCGGGTAGGATAAAGCTTGAAACACGAAATCATAAGTTATAATTTAATAAATAATCATAAAAAACAATTTAATTCAATAATATAATCAAACCAAAAACACTGAAATTTGAAATATAGCGCCAAGTTCGCACATCACTGAGCAAAGTCGCAAAATCGTTTTCAGTGTCTGATGACGAATTTCCCCACGAATCATTATCACTCAATTCTGCAAGTGGTTCTAATTTACTATCGCTGTTCTCTAGCTGGTCTAAAACCCCTTTTGACCTAAAGGGACGCTTTTTGGACGCCATGGACGTTTCTCAGTTTCTAGGTAGAGAGAACAGTAAAAATGCAGGCAGGGCACAGGACAAAGCACTCGGGACAAAATGTATGTGAAATGGTTTGATACAGTAATGTTATACTATGTGATTTTAGTGATTTTTGTGAGTCACTTTTTGTCATTTTCAAATTTCTCGCCATTCCATCCCCCATACGTCCCGACGCTCACAGAGGACGGAACCCAGATGACAGATGCTGGCGTCTGCCGGATTACATTGCCGGGGACACTGCAGGAGGGACATCACAGGAGCACAGGACAAGGTAAGTGATAACAGATCCCGGAGCAGCGCCGCATGGTAAGCCCGAGTGTAGCTCGGGGTTACCGCTTGTTGTACTGAAACTTTACCCCGAGCTACACTCAGGAATACCGCCAGGGAGGCTACTTTCTTGCTCTTCTGAGTCCTGTCCCTGAGCTACTTACATACTATATCAAGAATAAAATATGAAATATGTTTTTTGAATTAATATCTACCTTAAATCACATTGCTACAGTAATTGCATATTGTACTTGTTTGTAGCCTAAATACTGTAATTTTTTTAAGATTTGGAAAACCTTGCTGTGCAAGTAAAATTTGGGTGTCGTGTCAGTGAATTTCAACCTGGTAGGTTGGAAACACTGGTTCCACCCACAACTGAGTGTGTGGAAGTGCTGTAGATGACTGGCAGAGAATTGTCTTTTTACAAGCACTTGAGAAGTATTTATTTATTTGAGTGAGTTTAGCCCCTTCATCTCTCTGTTACTATATGTTTGTCTTACATTCTTTTCCATATATTCTGATATATCTTCTCTCTCTCTCTCTCTCTCTCTCTCTCTCTCTCTCTCTCTCTCTCTCTCTCTCTATATATATATATATAGTGACATAGGGTAGTTAGCTCTCATGGTAGATGCGTTATTTTAGTGATTTCACAGCAGACTGGAACTATTTTTAAGGGCTTCATAGCCCACTTTTATTTAAGAGAGAGCAAAAGTTCACACAAATAATTTCCCAGGTAGAGGATCTTCTCCAGTTTGAACAAAAATCCATACACTGGAAGATTCTGAGCCCCCTGGCTCCTAAGCTGATTCAGCTTCACTTGCATTACCTCTCCTGGATACTCGGATCTCTAGCTTTAGTCACAGCACCCTACTATAAAGCCCACCTCTGGCCTATAGATGGGGGTTCGTCAGACATCCCAATAGGAGCTGACCTGAGTTCTGGAGATCTCTTGGCTTCTGGCTAGGTCCTCTGACCCTTCAATGAGACCTTCCATCTCCCCCACTGGGAGCAGTCTCCAACTGGGAGCACTGAGCTATTCTCAGATCCGAGTATATAACAACACCTCACTGCTGTGTACACCAGATTGCAGGTGTCTAGAAAAAACCCAGACACAGGTATAAATGTTCCGATCCAGAGCTGCAAAATCCAGAGAAAGCTCATTCCTCAGCTTTTTCTGCCCAGAATTACTAGTCTGGATTGTCACATTCACTCTAAATGAGAATTCTGTGTCACATTTTCCTATCTTTTTTTATATATAATAAGACTCCATGGAACAGAAAAACCTAAACATATGCCACCATCATCTGCAGCTGCAGCATCTTCATGTTTTCCCCATTTTTACCACAAAATAGTAGTCTATCTTTTGTACTCTTGGCAGTAAACAGAAATAAGAAGCCAGTTATCCATTTGTTTTATTTTACTGGACAGTGCACTGACCAAAACATTGGTGGCACATTAATTATCATAATAGTTAGTAGTTTTAAACATTTGGAACAGTTCACTAACATCAAGAACATGACATGACCTATTTACTATTGCAGTACAAACTATACAAACTATTTCCGGGAACAGTATATACATTCCACAGCCCATTGGGTCAACATAGTAACCTGCAGTGAAATATTGTGCCACAACAATGAAGCAGAAAGTGGTACTGGTAACACTATCACAAATGTCGTCACATTATCAAACAAATTGCTTTGGGTCTGGGAATTGCCCTGGGGAATTTGTACCAGAGCAAAAAAACATATTTTTTTTCACAGGGAGCGGTGATTTCAATGCTTAACATGCCACATTAAAATGAAAAATCCCTTTAAATAACATGCATGGGGGATGCCCTGATCCTGCCTGAGAAGCGGTGCATCTGTACAATGTATAAACCCTATTGCAACAAAATGTACACAAAATATGCACATTTACAAAGAAAAAAATGCTGTTAGTGGACTGGAGATTTTTTTTTCTTAAAGTATTTCTCAAATGGACTCCACTTTTTCAGTAGAGTGATTTTGGCTGTTTCTAGGTTAAACATAAAACAGAAATAAGTAAATACATTGTGCAATAGGTATGACCCCTGATGTCATATGCTTGCATGTCTAAATTGCATCATACATATTCCAGTTACTTACTTGAATGGGAATGGAGGAGTTTTACCTTATGTGGTCTCAACAGTGTATTTTATTGTCTCCCAAATTCCTCCTATATCCTTAAGGCATAATTTGTTCTTTCTGACATAGGGCTAAGGTGAAAGTTGTTAAAGTATTATTATCCATATTCTCTGGATCATTAACTTGCACTTTCACATCCAAACTCAAATAAAACATTTCCCCACCTGTGGTGCTAAGCTGGCATTGCTGCTTCCTACCTCTTATAGCGGCATATAGGGAAGTGGATGAAATTGGTAATCACTGCAGCAGTATATATCAGCCATCATAAATAGTAAAAAGTATACCATATGGTGCCACTCCAAGCTATGGATACAGAAGGAAAAGGATCATCCCACCGGCAAGTGAGAAGAGGGGAGGATGAGTTTGGGTGATTCCAGTGTCAGCCAATACAAGCAAAGGGATGGATGCTGCTCAAACTACCCAATCCTGAGTCCAATGTTAAGGAATGACTTCAGCCGCTGTCCTGGCCACACCGTCTTGCTTTTAAAAGTAACACATTTGAGTACTCCATACATTCAGTGCTTCTGAATTCCATCAATCCTTAGATTAACAATATTATATGTACTGTATAGACTGTACTGTTTATAACTCAATGCATAGCCCAGATATGTCAGGGAAAAAAAATGGGAGCTACACTACAGATGATGCCCTGTATGCTAATCAAGCACCACCCATACCTTTAGCTTTAGCATCAGTGTTTTATTTATAGTATTATAGTCTGGGAGCCAGGTCAGGAATACTATATCATAGGCTAAATAGTCTATGAACAATGCCACCAAATATTAACGACTTCACGTCCGGACACTTTCACCCCCTTCCAGTTCAGGCCAACATACAGCTTTCAGCACTATCACACTTTGAGTGACAATTACTCAGTTATGCAACACTGTCACCATATGAAATTTTTATCCTTTTTGAGACAGATAAAGCTTTCTTTTGGTACTTGATCATCACTGGGCTTTTATTTGTTGCTATATAAATGAAAAAATACCAAAAATTAAAAAATCATTTTTGTATAGTTTTTGTTATACAGTTTTGCAAATAGATAATTTTTCATCATACATTTAGGACAAAATGTATTCTGCTACATTTTTGGGGTGAAAATAACCCATAACAGTTTATATGGTATAGTCTGTGTGAAAGTTATAGAGTCTACAAACTATGGAATATATATTTGAAAATTGATCAGTTGAGATCCTAAAATGCCGGACACTGGTATGGCATATGGCAGTGATCAGGACACTGGTATGTGGCATGGCAGTGGTCAGGATGCTGGTATGAGGTAAGGCAGTGATTTGGATGCTGGTATGGGATAAGGTGGTGACCAGGATGCTGGTATGGCGGTGATCATGGCACTGGTATGGTGTATGGCGGTGACCAAAGCATTGGTATGTTATATGGAGGTGATCAGGGCGCTAGTATGGTGTATGGAGGTGATCAGGATGTTGGTATGGCATATGGCAGTGATCAGGGTATTGGTTTGGGGTATGTCGGTAATCAGGACAGGACAGTAGTATGGCAGTGATCAGGACATTGGTATAGTGTATGGGGGTGTTTTGTGTGCACTGGGACAAGTGACAGGGCTTCACTGCATTATTTATTATCTATATACTGGGGCAGTGATCAGGGACACAGGGGCACTAAACAGGCTGCTGTAGACCCAAACACTGCAGGATCGCTTCTCTCTGCTCTCACACTGAAACCAGACAGAAGCGATTTTTACTTTCCATTTCAGTATTTACTATGTGAGTGCTGTGATTGGTAATAGCTGTCATATGGTAAAACACCACATGATCACCCAAACACAGCAGTAACATGATCCACTGTGTCCAGGTGACAGACCGATCATTGTGCTCTGGGGTGCATGCTCTGTGAGCCACGCAGGAGCCATCACTGCGGATTGACCTACAGGAGTGTTAGCCCACATCGACGCTGCTTCCCGTCCACTGTCTATGTACAATGGGTGGATGGGAAGAGTTTAACCCCAGGATTAAACCTCTATTTATAAACTATTTGTAAAAATGCATACACCAACTTTATTGATGCTTACCCCAGATAGATTGGGTTAATGCATTCCCTTAAAAATATATACCAGACACTTATTCTTGATGAGAGTCTGATATGGGTATCAAGGGGGACCCACAGGAACAAACAAAAATGGCATAGGGTCTTCCCAAATACCTTGTGAGATCCTTTGGGATTGGTATGAATTTGTAAAGGGGGACACCATGCAAAAAAACAAGAAAAAAAGCATGGGGTCAGCCCCATAATAATAATATCTTATCTAAGTATGCATCCTGGCAAGTGCCCCCTTCCACATGCCCTTAACATAGTGGCACACCCTACCAGGAGTGACCCCCCTGTCAGACCACCTTGTCCCCATGTTGATGATAAAGGGGAACATGACCCCAAAACGCATTGTCTGGACAAACAACTGATTCTCCATTGGAAGTGTGAACATATTAGACTTCATGTGCGTTACTTTAGTTATTATTTTCACATAAAGACAACTGAGACAACTGAGTGTTGTTGTGCCATTAATTATTTTTAAAGTATATACACATCTTCCAGTGATGCAGATCCGTTTCAATCATTATGAACAATGCCTACCAACTTGCAGAAAGAAAAGTTCACTAACTAATTAGCATGTCCAGTGCTGCTGCTCACTCATCAAGAAAGACAATTCCCCAAGCTAGAATGTACAGGGAGAACATGCAAACTCCGGGCAGGTGGTGCCATGGCTGGGAATCAAACCAAGGACAATAGCACTGCCAGGTGGAAGTGCTAATCATTTAGCTACTGTGCTACCCTATTTGGACAAGAATGTCAGCCGCTATCCCTGTCCCTTTGTTTACATGGCTAAAATTCTTGACTAGAAAATGAATAGGTCTGAGTGACATCAATGGTTGCTAAGGATG